AGCTATTTTTACTAAGTAAAGTTCACCTATCGTCTAATGAAAAAGAGAAGATTCAAATCAGTCAAAAATTAGCAAGAGGAAATCTAAATAAAAAACTTAGTCCTGAATTTAAAGATCCATACGAGGTCAAGAAAATATCTGGCAAAAACGTTTTATTAAAAATCCGTAACAAGGAAGTTACTTATCACAAAACCGTGTTCTGAGTAGTTGATCTAAAGAGAGAAATCCCAAAATAATAATAATTTAATCCTTTTATTTTTCCCATATAGCTAATCATCATTTATTTTATTATTAATCCATTTATTCTTTTCTATGTACCCTATATAAAATTCTTGTATTTTTCAGAACTTATGTCAATTTTGTTTCGAATTTCATGTCTTTTGATTTTATTCTTTTATCTTTACTCTTTATGAAACAATGTTCACTAACGAGTATTGCCTAGGAAAAGTTCTACTACTTGCAGCTATAAAGCTTAAAATTATGTTCCTGATAAGAAGTCAATGTGAAGAGATACAACAGTCTACCATACAGAAGACATAGCACCTACTACTACTCAAGGAGTTTCAACCTGGACGGAACCATCCAGAAACCGACATAGGAAACTGTCAAATCCGAACAAGAGGAGAAAACAAATTCTTTTTTCAAAATAATTGTTTTCCGTCTTAAGGGGGGAGGTGTTATGATCCCGTACTCAATATTCACATTTTCAACTTTTTATAAACAAAAGACTGGCGACGAACTCAAATTGTTCTTCTTTAGAAGCGAAGCTTCTAAAGACTATTTCTTTTATTTTAGTTGCAAGTGTTTGCTAGTTCCCATTGTTAAACGTTCGAAACAGTTGACTGACGAAAGACCAAAGTAATATAGGCAAGCTACACAGCTTGGCGTCGGTTCATTTGATTTTTAGTCTAGCTGTAATAAGTTCTTGTTTATTAATATTAGTTTTGTGATAGTTTTAAGTGCTTGTTCATTACTTACAAAAAATAAAGAACGAACCGAATATAACAGTATATTTTTTTTTTTTCGCATTACGTTAACGTATAAATTTTAAGGGGGACGTTAAAAAAATTAATAATAATAATAATAATAATAATAATAATAATAATTTTTGTAAACGAATCTACTAGAAAAGTTTTCGTTCGGGGAAATCGATTCAAATTAATTAAATAATTAATTAATTAATATTTAAAATGAAAAAAAAAAAAAAAAAAAAATTTTTTCGGTTTAAAATTAAATTGACCGTAAAGAAGAAAACGGTTCGTTAATCTTTGATTAACGGTTTTCTAAAATTTATCTTTGAGATGTTAATTTTACTATTTTGAGGTTTTTCTCTCTCTCTCTCTCTCTCTCTCTCACTCTGTCTATTT